TCATTTAGACTAAACGACGCCATGTTTGTTATGTGCCTCTGCCGTCAACCTATCAAAAAAGAAGAGGTGGAAGAGAGCCAGAAGATCTTCCCAATGCAAAAAAAAAACAGAAATGGACTTCTTCTGGCTCACGTCCGAAGAACAAAAAAAAACGCGCCCCATTGATATGTTTTAAAAACGCCTTGCCCCTACCCTTTTTTCCAAAAAAAATGGCATTATTAAATATATAAACATATATATAATGATCAAAATTAAAATGCTATTGTATTTTTATAAGACCTACTTTATTACATGACCTGGGACTAATGACATCTATCTATAAGTCCTAGCATACATTAATTATTATAATATGAATATGTTTCTTGTTTTGATAACCACATATGATGCTATACATGAGTCACCATTTATCAGGACATGAATTGGGTTTACATAGAGAGGATAAGGGACGACATCAGAAAATCAATGAAGGATAAAAAACTTAATTCAAATAGTTTTTTTTTGGGGGGGGGGGGTCCAAAATTGCTGCAAGTTTTGTTTAATTAACATCGATTTTATATATATCCTTATTGGTCAATAAATTTTCCAAATTAAGTTAAGAGGGGGGGGAGGGGGTCAGTGAAAAAAACTATATGAATTAAGTTTTTTTTATCCTACATTGAACTTTTGATGTCGTCCCTAATGAGCAAAAAAATAGATAAGGGGCGGGACCAAACCTATAGTTAACATAATAAAGAAATGATGAAATATACAGAATACGTTGATTGACTTTTGGTTGCCTTATGTCCAGTGGCAAATATGTCACGCATGTTTAGGACAAATATAATAGAGATCAAAGGATAAAGAATAGAGTGAAATGGTAAAAACTAAAAGATATAGAATTATAGAAACGATCTTTGATCTGAAACCCCTACCCTCACACACACACCATAACCATTACTGACAATACTCGCATATATACATCTCTATACAAATATCTAAATTTGAACCTACCCCTCCCCCCCCCCCCCCCTTCTAGACACCGAGGTTTTGGATCCGCCCCTGTTAAATGTGTCTGATTATATACATTTTGTGCGGGTCTAGATAATAGCTAAACGTACAATTTAAAATTTGTTGGATACATAATTATATTATATAATGTGTCACAAAATAAACTTGTATACCCCCTTCCCAATGCAGTATTAAAAAGTAAATCATTTAAAAGTCCTGAAGATAAAATATGTTTTGAAATATGCCCTGCATACTTATTTATGCAAAGACATATAGTAATGATTGAACTACTGTGGGGCTTGAAAAAAATCTATTTAAGGGATTCGGAGACGAGAACAGTAAAAAAAAGCTCAGCAACGAATCCTAAATGTAAGATGATTTGCAGCATAAGACATGAGAGCACATATTATAGATAGTATTAAATATGAAGTTCACGCCTCAAATAGTGAAGTCCTATGTCATAGGACTATTGTTGTAACATGGGTTAGTAACTGGTTCCAATTTATCCTGAATTGTCTTTATTGAAGAATTAGTTCCGGAGTATAACAGCTCATGTCTCTACTTGTGGGTTTCTGGTTCTGCTGTCGTAATTAGGTGATTTTTTTTCTACATTTAGTAAAATAGAGGGGGCTCAGTCCAAATAATTGTAACGTCCTGGATGCTTTTTATTCTTTTTTCATGTGTGCCTTCCTGCAACGTCTCTGAGGATCAAGAAAAGTAAAAAATTATATAGCACTAAAGAACGTCATGATTACATGTATCTGGACTTGGAACGGGGAGGGGGGCTAGCTATGTATTTTTTTTTTTATTTCAATGTGTAGACTGTAGGAGAGTTTCTTCAGAAAAGGTTTTCATTGGAGGTGTTTTTGCCATGCACGCAGGCATCTGTTTCTATCCATGAACAAGTTGTGTGTCAAACTAATTATTATTACTTGTCACTCGCATTTTTTGCTCGTCCTGGCCATTATTGGCATTAACAGCCAGTGCACGAACTCGCACGAACGCCAAATTTAGTTAGAGGGGCGATATTCTGACGCGTTTTTTAATTCTTGGTCACTCAAGTTTAGAAAGAAAGGGGAGAAATCCAAACAATTATCGACCAATCACAAACGTTATTGCAAATTTGACCTTATGACACCAAAGAATTTCCCATAATGCAATTATTGCATATAAATTAAAAACTACTATACCCATTGAATAAAAAATATTGCATTCAAATGACATTTTATACCAATTGAATAAAAAATATTATATTTGAACGAAAATTATACCATTTGAATGAAAAATTATACCATTTGAATGAAAAATTATACCATTTGAATGAAAAATTATACCATCTGAATAAAAAATATTGCATTTAAATGAAAAAATATACCATTGAAATAAAAAAATATTGCATTTAAATGAAGAAATATACCAATTAAATAAGAAATATTGCATTTAAATGAAAAATATCAAATTTTTGCAACCAATACCATGCCATACTTGTCAACGATTGACACAGTAACTATATTAAACCTTTACAGTATTTATATTTATCAATTAATGCCATTTACATGATTGAAATACACATAGTCGTGTAGATACCTTCGATTAGTCAACGGTAAGTGTAGTTTTGTTATCGTTTATTTATTCTCCTATATCGAATGTGAAACACCAACTTCCATAGAAATTCAATAAACTCATTAAAATACCAGGATTAAAATTCTCTATGCAAGACGCGCGTTTCGTCAACAAAAGACTCATCAGTAACGCTCGAATTAAAAAGTAAAAAACAAACAAATAAAGTACGAAGTAAGAATGCATTGAGAACCCAAAATTCAAAATACAGCTAAGGTAATCTATTTCTGGATAGAAAATCCTTAGTATTTCAAAAATTTTAAAGTTTTGTTAACAGTTAATTTATAATTATGACCATATCAATGATCATTCATGTTAACACATAAGTCAATATTTGACATTAAATATACAAGCATTGTCCGAGGAAAGATTTGAATATTGAATTAAAGATAAGAACGATGTTGAACATCACCTATCTCAATCCATATTTTTGGTGTTGTTTTTAGTGAATTTTTTCGGCATCTTTTATTGGCAATTTTTTTGTCTTACCTTCTTTGATTTTTTTTTCTCCAATGGTTTTAACTTGAAGGTGAAGCAATGAAAAAGAATTAGAAAAAAGTGCTTAACTAGTTTTCTGTTATATTGTGTTCCTCTGTGTACCGGACTTAAACAACTAAAAAGAATAAAATAATCAAGTATGTTTTGTCAATGATATTTTTCAATTTCAAGAATATTTTGAATCTACGGTCAAAAATCATGGCTATCCTTGATTCGACTGACTATATTTTATGCCGATGGTAAAATATATTTTAATTCGATCTGGAATTAGGCTTTTTAACAATGGCATGTTAAAACGAAACCAAACCGGGTTGTCCGATATTGGCGTTTAGTAATAGAGTCGGTAAACAAATTCATAAATATATTGGACCACCTCGTCAGGTCCCTGTATTCATTATCCTATAAGAAAAAGAATAAAAAAGACTCCAATAAAAAAGTTAAAAAGAAAAGTACAAAGATGAAGAGCATTAAGGGACAAACATTCCGAAAGGTTTTGCAAAATGCAGCTATAGTAATCTATTCCTGGGTTTTTTTATTTCGTAGTATTTCGAACAATTAATATGAATATATTGAAATATTTTGATAAACAGGTTTTGACATTTGGTTTTCATTGGAGATTCTTTCAACTTATGATTACACCACATTTGATATGTATGTATATTACTAAAACATTAATTTTACATATTCCTATGTAAATATCTAACTTGAAAAACGATCGAATCACTATCGATTCCGTATCTTTATGACTGAAAGTACAAATCAAAATACCGAGACCGTCTGTCGGTAGCATTATCAAATTTATTCAGAACTTTCGAGCAATCTCGGTATGATTTCAAATGAATCATATTCAACACTGAAGACCGGAGGTTGATCTTTCGTTATTATTATTTTCTCTGCCCTCTTCTTTTTTAATTGGGGTTTAATTGACGTTTACAAATCTCTCGAAATCACTTTGACGCTGTATTCATAAACATTTTTTCTCCAAAGGAATTTTACTATCTTTCGTTATACAGGTATTTACGTGCAAATAAAGTTTTCTGGCGAACCAAGTTATAATCTTGGTATCTTTGATGAGTTTTGTCAAAAAGAATAAATTTATCATAGATAAATTATTAATGTGTGTACGCCAGACGTGCGTTTAGTCTAAAAAAGATTAATCAGTGACGTCTCTGATATCTGATAACAGTTTTTATCAGTATATTTTCACTCTTTTGAAGCATCATATGGTGTCATCAATACAAACGCGTAGGAATACATAGTATATATACATGTTAAGGTGGATCGTCGCTATATATTTCCTCAAATAAAATTTTCTTATACTTTGCCAATATTGAGATTTTACCATGCTTTCTAAAAAAAATAATCAAAAGTATGGGTCAACGTGCTATTTTTCAAGCTACAAGTCGTCCAAAAATTGCCCAATTTTGCAAAGATTATTCCTGTCAAAACACTTTTTTGTGAATATAAAGAAATCAATTAGATAGAATTTTGAAATAAATTATGAGAAGATAGGTTTAATAATATGCTTTAAGAAAATAAAAATAAAAAATGGTGTCATCGAACTTGATTTCTTGCTACAAGTATAAATTGAAAGTTTCACTATCATTCCAGTTTAAAATGTTAATTAGAACAGTCATCTCTCCTTATATGACATTCGAAAAATTAAATCGAACAAAAACAAATATTTAGTATTTGTTAAAACAGTCTAAATGATGCAATAAATCACTTATTTTTCTTTATCAAAACGAACAGTCTTACACATTAATTGCCAATCTGCTCTATTATTTGCAGATTTAGGCAAAGAACTAGACCGATTGTGTACTGCTATTTTACAATCCAAGATGGCGGTATACAGTTAATCTACCTTAATATTAATGTTTTATTTCAGACACGTTGCTTTATTCTATTGTGCAATCCGATTGTTTAAAGTTCCAATGACAGACGAGATATGTCCTATACAGTTCCAAAGCAGTAAGTTAGTTAAAGTAAAACATAATGTATTTTGATTTGTGATCTTTATGATCAAACAGCTAGTTTATCAGTTTCAGTTTGAATCTATGAAAAACAATATAATAAAAAAACATATTTGTTACCATAAGAGAAATTCAAAATCCTCAAATCATTTGTTGCTGCTTACAATGAAGCTATTAAACCAAGAGTTAAGTCGAGGTCTTCCATTTACGGATGTCATGACGCGTTGTTTGGCCGTTATGGAATATCTGTTTCACTGATGACGATGGATATGTTCTAATTGTCGTAACCACAGTGTCGTCTTGTTTTCCGCGATTGTGACATCACCGAATGAGACTTATCACCGAGTTTGTACTTACATGTGCAACACGACCTGTGCCACATGTAGAATCTGATTATTCATCCGGAACACCAAAGATAATTCCCGGTTTTTGGTGTTGTTCGTATTGCTCCATATAAAAATAAGAAGATGTGGTATGATTTCTTATCATAAAACTCTCCACCATAGGCCAAATAATCTGAGAGTTAGCAACCATAGGTCATCGAATGTGCTTCAACAAGGAGCAAAACCAATATCGCATAGTAAGCTATATAAAGGCCCAGAAATGACAAATGTAAAACAATTTAAACAAGAAATATAACGGCCTGATTTGTGTACGTACAAGACAACAAACGAAAAACAAATATGACATACAGCAACAAATGACAACCACTGAAAAAAAAGAATAACAAAAATACCGAACTCCATGGTAAATTAAAAAAGGGGAAGTCCATAAAAACTGACAAAATCAAACGTTATCAACCAACGGAACTAATGGAAAACACATATTCCTGACTTGGTACGGGCATTTGGCTGAGAGAGTTTGAAATTAAATTTTTATGTTCAATAAAATACAAGCGTGTACAATACTATTCAGAACCTTTACAGTATTTTATTTGTTAATATTGTTGACATGAATGATAAACACATAGTCCTGTAGAAGCCTTTGTTTAAGTAAGTAGGTTTGTTATAGTTTATTTATTCCAATAACGAATGAAACTCAAAGTTCCATAAACCTATTTATTTTTCTTCATTTTTATGCATAGCGTACCTTCTTGATATTATGGGTGAACCATTTTCATAAATTCGTATAAAATCAGTTGGAACATTATTTGCCTGATGAAGCATATGACATAATGAATTACAGGCCCCTGTTTTGAGGCAGGCACATATACAGAATATCGCGGGATTAAACATCTGTGAAGCGCCTTAAGCCTCCCCAAACATTGAACATTGGTGTAACAGTACAACATATGATTAAACTATAAAAATCAGTTGAAAAGGATTTAACTCATTTTACTTTATTTTTATCAATCTTTATTTTTTCATGTTGGTTTTTGTAAACTATTGGATGTATTTTCGTTGTATTTTATTTGTTCTTTGCCATGGCTTTGTCACATTGGATTGTGTTGGAAGTTTGAATTTCCCCTTAGTACCTTCCGTCTCTCTTTTAAGAAGTTATTGAAAAGCTAGGATTCCAACTTTGTCAAAAGCGCTTCGGACGAACACAATTTATAAAGTGTTATTTCAATTTGATGTCGTCAATCGGGGATTTAAATGTGACAACTCTTCAAATACTGTAATGCTATTCATATTCTATTGAAATACTCGTTTAAGTTCAAAATAAAACATTGGATGTGTCCAACAATGTTGTTACCAAAGACTCCGACCGGCAATTGTCGAACATATTGACGGCAGATGTCATCAAAACCACTAATGGCGCTTATTCTTATATATTAATCATGAAAATTCAAATGATAACGAAAAGAAGTTCAACATTTTTAATTTTACCAAAGACGTGTATACTGACACTAACCTTATTGTTTCTTTTAATAAATGAAACTACGAAATATCACTGAAAACGATTGCTGCATGTGGGGTTATTTCGTAATTATTTTCTAGAAGATCCGTGTTGAAGTAGAAGTATCTGTTTCCACTTATTTTTATTTCGGTTTAATGGTTCACCATTGCTTTAACAGCTGTTGACTAGCTATGTTTGTGTATAAAAGAAAATGTGGGACAAGGTCAATGAACAATTATATACATGAACCATATACAACGCATATCGCATAGGAAAAGAAATAATCTGTTATGTTTGTTGCACACATGTTTATACTATTGTTGTATGATTTGCAATTGTTTACCACTTTCTTTTTCATTAAAATGGAAACACACATTCCTTATAACTAATGCTAATAACATAAAATTGAGAATGGAAACGGGAAATGTGTCAAAGAGACAACAACCTGACCAAAGAGCAGAAAACAGCTCAAGACCAGCAATGGGTCTTTAACACAGCGAGAAAATCCCGCACCCGGAGGCGGGCTTCAGCTGGCCCCTAAAGAATAATTTATGAGTGGAATAGTAAGTTTATTGTCCCCCGAGGTGCAACTTTTGCCCTGAGGCGTAGCCGAGGGAAATAGTTGTATCCGAAAGGACAATAAACTTACTATTCCACGAATATCTAGTCAGTAAGTGTTTTATTATACCAAAAGAGAAAACAGATACAAAGTTATGTCAAGGACTGAACTACACAGCTGACCAAAATTCATTTTTACATTTGTAAGAGACAACGGACACATAGTGATGACAATTATCTGATTGTAAATATGCATTCCAATAACAAGCAGGCAATTGCAAGTTTAAAGCTTCATTTTTTTTTCAAAACAACAGAATAAATTAAACGACTCGGTAACGACGTTAGTAATTGAGATGAATGCTGATAGTCCCGAATGAATTGTTAAAAACCCGATAGCCAATCCCGTAGCTGTAGTTGAAATTCCGCGAAATATAATGACGCTTGCGGTCAAATAGATTCATCGAGGGCAAATAGTTGGAAAATATTGTGTACATATTTTATATAGAAAATGATAACTGAGGTATAATAATATATACTAGTTAGCGAAAATGGACGTCTCACTAAACTTTAAAGTCAGTTCAGCAGGATAAATCTCTTTAGTGTACATTCTGAATGTATACATTTTATATTGAAATGAATAAATGTAAATGAAAAATCATATGCAAAGTTTTGAATTTATATATTTCAGATTCTTATACAGTAGACGAAATGGATTTAGTTTGGTTTGGAGGCAGTTCTATCGTTTACTCTGTCGACTTCTTCTCAATGAATTCTAAAGTTACAAGTACAGATACTTCAAAATGTTCTGGTGGGGCCTCTACGGCTAAAGGTTAATTTTCATAATATATAAATTTTCATTATTCTTTGGAAGCAGGATGTCATACATGGTTATTTTTGTTATCTTACAAGATGAAATATAAGGCGATTTATAAAAGAGTTCTTGAAACATTATAATTTCTAATTATTTCTATTATTATTATTATGATGATTGTTGTTTTCCTTTTTTAATATTAAAATATTATGTAAGTGGCAACAGTAGTTTACCGATGTTCAAATTTTGTAAATTCATTTGAATGTACATATCACATGTATCATGATAAATAACAAAACCTGAGGGATTCTTATGAACACCAAAAGGAGCGATACCGATTGTGTCGACATGGCAGGGTTTCCTTCTATGAACGCATTGCCCGCCATGCGAATCCACACTCAGTCAAAAGGTCACAATAGAGAATAGAACACAATCGGTAGATTTATTAACCAGACGATTACGCTGGCATCTAAGGATCTAAATCTATCAAATAAGATACGAATTATGACTACATTAGAGATCAGAGATTACAATATAAATACAACATTGCTTTACCGTTTCCTTTACAGAAAGAAGACCGTGTTTAAAGCTGGATTTAAACATCAGTCAGGTGTATAAAGGATTTGTTATACAAGTGTACCTACCTGGAGGTGCAATAGTTATAATGTTATGGCTAGGTTTCTTCATTCATTTGAACGAGGTTTCAGCTAGAGTCCGCGTAGTATCGATTGGATTTACAGCAATGATCACACAAATGGTGGGAGTTATGATCGTTTTTCCTGATACCGTACAATTAGAACCACTTCTGGTGTGGAATACATTTTGTTTATGCATGAATCTTATAGCATTTATAGAATTCATCGTAGTTCATAATATGTATATCACACGTGAACTATGGAAAAACCAAAATAAAGAAATAATTGTAAGCAGTCATAGAATCACTCAAGTACAACCAATAAACGACGATACTGATAATGCTACAACTCTAACAAAGAGACCACCGTACTGCATTACTCCATACAGAATGGATAAAATATGCATGGTTCTCTTCATGTTTACTTTTCTTATTTTCAATGTTGCTTATTGGAGCACATTCATGTTGGCTTGAAAATTGGACTAAAAGCTGGTACTTAAGTACAATTAAATGAAAACCATCTTGTATATTTTTCTTTGAAACATTATATATTTGTATGTTTGTAATTAAAAAGATGCATGCTATGAAGGTCAATGCAATTTAGTTAGGTGGGCTGTTGTTTGTTAAAGATATCAATTTCATTCAAAATTCTTATTTCGAAAATATAGAAGAATACATTTGACATTGCTATTATTGTTTTTCAACATCATTGTATTGATGATTGTCAAATGAATCACATAGTTGTATGAACTCGTCTTTTGTGATGGATATTTGATATTTTGAAAACATAAATAATGTACAAGTCTAATTCCTGTTTTTGTTATGTTTTTTTTTGAGGTTCTATCGGATTGTATTTCCTCCATCCATTAAAAGTGAAGCACCAGTAATACTGTCAGCACCAGAAGAACACAAAAATACAGCTAGTTCTGCAATCTGTAATAAAAATTGTCAAAGAAAAGAAATTCAAAATATGAAGTGAACAGCTATCTAAATCTACATTCCTTAAATCCAAACTGTATACATAGATCATGGTCATACTTCTACAGCACACATTTATATGTATAACAGGTGTTTAACAGATTGGACTACTTTGAATAAACTTAGGGGAACACAGAATGTTAGTCTAATGTGTGCTCTGTGTAAGACTCCTTTTCGAGGAGCAACAACATAAGGTATCACTACAAACCAGTAAAAGTCTGAAATGGCCTATATTTGTACTCGACTGTACTGATTTTTACTCGACCAGTCTGAATTGGTCTGAAATTTACTTGATAATACTCGACTGTAGTCTGAACCATACTTAACAGTCTGAACTTGTACTCGACCAGTACTTAACCATTTTATTTTTGTCTGAACCATGCTCGACCTAGTCTGAACCATATTCGACCTAGTCTGAACCATACTCGACCTAGGCTGAACCATACTCGACTAAGTCTTAACCAACCTAGACCTAATTTTTGTATCTATCTATTGTATTTCATCAATTTAGGAACTGTTTTTAACAGCTATTTCCCTTGGCTAGAAATTTGAACAACAATTTGAAATTTAAAATGTATTCAATATGGAATATTGAAACCAAAATTATACAATAAACATAATATAAATTCAACACCATATTTATCAACACTTACATATATATATCACCTTTAAAATAAAAATAAAACAAACTAATCAAATAATCTCAAAACTGAATTGTGACATATATTTTCAATGTTATTCAAATTTTTTTGAATGTTTCAGATATATTTTATGGTTACTGGACAATTTTCACCATTTACTTAAGCCTTGTATTGATTTATGGTGTCAGTTGAGTTTAGTTTCGGTAATAATGCAGTGAACATTTTTTTTATTAAAATATATTTAAAATAGTATATAAAGCAACTACATAAATTTTAAAAATAACACCTTTGTTTTGTAAAACCAAGAATTTAAGATAATCATGATAATAGAACTTCCATAGCAATCCTTGATAACCATTTAAAAAAGGAAATGTGTTCCAAAGTTGCAGAAAAAATTTATTTTAATTAAATTTAAATAGCTTTTGTCAAAATTAAAGACATGGCATACAAGAAGCACTTTAATAAGGTTTATCTATCTCAGTACATGTGTGTTTTACAGGTAAAAAGAAAGCCCTTTTTTTTCTTAAACTTGTGTATTACTTATCTAGTGAATTCAAAAGGCCTTGCGATTTAAGTTTTACAGGATGTTGCAATTTTTAATGAATGTTAATTAGAAATTAATACTCTCTGACCAGGTGTGATTTTTAATGAGTTTGCCCCAAGCAGGAGGTATTACTTTATACTTTACCACTAATCAGAAGAAAAAATTTATCTATTTCTTTAATTTTTTTATCCCCTTTTGATATATATTTTATCCCAAATTATAATAAGAATAGATATATTTCTAATATAAGGTTAAACAATTTCAGTGATTTTTTGGCTGTTGTTACCTCATTAAAAAGATAATTATATAACTATTGTATATAACCATGAAACCTATATAGTTTTTCTTTAGGAATTTAGGAAAATTAAGTTTAAAAAAAAAAAAAAACACACATGCCAAACAAGAAGCACCTTAATACGGTTTTATTACCCTCAGTAAAGGTGTGGTTTTTAGTTAAAAGAAAATCTTTTTTTTAACAAAACTCTAAAACTTTAAAATTAATATAATTGAATTATATAAGATAATTTAATTTAACTATCTCTATTTGATAAATCTGAGAATCATGTAAGAATGTAAAAATATATTTTTATATATATCTTTATTTTATTGTGGCTGTTTTCATGTCAGAAAAAAAGAAATTAATTTTAACAGCTAAAATTAAAAAAAAATATAGGTTTTTTGGTCAAGTATGGTTCAGACTGGTCGAGTATTGTTCAGACCTTTGGTCGAGTATGGTTTAGACTGAAAAAATTTGTCGAGTACAGAACGAGAATGGGTTAAGACTGTTTCAGACTGGTCGAGTAATAGTTCAGACTATTTTCAATGGCAAAGATAAGGGTCAAGTACAAATCAGTACGGTCGAGTATGGTTAAGACTGGTGTCGAGTAATGTCGAGTAAAATTCAGACCAATTCAGACAGGTCGAGTAAAAATCAGTACAGTCGAGTACAGATATAGGCCATTTCAGACTTTAGTGGTTTGTAGTGTATTGTGAAAAGGAGGAAACTTTGAACACTGTATCGGAAGCTAAAATTAATGTGAGAATTTGCCTTTCCATTTCCACATTCTGACCGTGAAAGGTAAAATTGCACTCCAAAAGACACCAATAATTATAATAGGCATCAAAGCATACAAACACTAGAGCGGAAAAGTTAGCTATATAATATATATAATACCTCCCTAGTGATGATCTAAAAATAAGTTGAGATGTACGTATTTCTTTATTATGTAGGAAAACTATTCAAGGTACATGCATGATCATTGTTTATTGTATTCAACTATTTTTTTCTCAATAAATATGCAGATACATAGTTTTTGTGCGATCATTAAAAATAGGTGAGATGATGCAATATGATTATTTTGAGTGGTCTATTGTATTCAACTAGACTTCTCGTTAGAAATGAAACCCATAAATTATGGTTTAAGGTTTTCACGGAGACTTTGGAGAGGAGAGCACCAGCATGAAAATCAAAAATATATTTGAACAGTGGCTTGAAATTAACTTTAACCCAGAGGAATGATATTTTCAGAGTAGAACAAGTTTAAAATTAGAAATCTTACTATTTCATAAATAACTTTTTTTTTCTTGCCAAAATATACATTTGGAAAGCACATTTGTAAATCACCAGAGAGAGACAGAGAGCAACGATTATACATATATGATATTTTGTATAAATTTTATTTATAGAAATTAATGAAATTTTAAATTAAAGTAATAAGTCTAAAGTTTCTAAATAAATCAAGCTCAGTAAACTATATGTATTTTTCCTGTCTCTTTCAATCACTGTGTAGCCGAACACCTGTTTAGAAAGTTCGCGTCCACATTACACGAGTACCTATATAACTTACCTGCTCTATGGTTACTGGTTTCTGGGTCGGATGAGCTGTTTTGAATATTTCAGTCTGAAATACAAAATTGTAGTACGATTTTAATGTTCTTTAGTCATAAATTGTAATCACCATCTTGGTATAGACGCGATTTCAATGTCTGATATATCCTTTATTGAATCTTGACAATTTACTCCATATAAAGGTTTTTATTGCAACTATTAAAGCATACACTATCTTATTTTGCATAAAAACACTGTAATAAAATCATAGACAAGGATCCGTTCATTATTTTGATGATATATGTGACCCAATATGTTGTCCTTTGTTATAACTAAGTCTTGTATATTTCGTATGTATTTACTCCTGTAACTATACATAACGAATTTTTTAATAAAATATGTTTACACTAATGTTTGGTCCTCAATTTTTTCAAAGCAATTATTTCAAATATTGATGACATATTTTAACTACATATAATACACCATAATTTCAATTAATGTCGTCACGCAAGAACAAAAAATGACAAAAGATACATAATTAGAGAAGAGTTAAATATAAAAAAATCAAACTGTAATTATTACGAGTGGACATGTGGCTAAGACAAATATTCTAGTTCATTAAGCAATGTTATAACGATAATTATACAATGAATTAAATATGATTTAATATATGGCCCTTGGACGACATTAAAGGATATTTGTCTCATTGGCAATCATAGCACATCTCATTTTTTTATAATATATATATCCATATTTGTTTGAATGTAACTAATAAAAAGAGTGCTTACCATTGCTTCATCATAGCTAAGGTTATGCTGTTGTGCATATGATCTTATCTGATTATGGAAAACTAGAAGAAGGGAAAAAAAAAATTTCTCTCGATACTGTAATACGATTAAAGATTTAATATGAACTCCAGATCAATTTTATAATTGTGTTCACGATACTTGGAATAACAAATTTATCTTCTGCAAAAATATGATTATAACTTTTTAACAATCAGTAATGCTATGATAATATTCAAACCTACGCGATGATATCTTTTCTTACATATACGCGTTACAAATATTACTACATCTGGGTTGCCCCAACTAGTCCCCGAGAGTACCATCAATCAAGTAAGCATTTTCTCGGTATTGGCATGCTTTCCTTATGGAATATCTGTTTCACAGATGACGACGGATATGTTCCAAGTGTCGTCACTACAATCCCGTCCCCTTTTCCCCGAATGTGACCTACCGAATAAGACTTATCACCGGGTTTGTACTTACATGGGCAACACTACGGGTGTCACATGTGGAGCAGGATCTACTTACCCTTCTGGAGCACCTGAGATCACCCCCATTTTTTGTGGTGTTCGTGTTGCTCAGTCTTTAGCTTTCTATGTTTTGTTTTGTGGACTGTTGTTTGTCTGTTGGTCTTTTTTAGCCTTGGCGTTTTCAGTTTATTTTCGACCTATGCGTTTGAATGTCCTTTTGCTATGATCTTTCGTCTCTCTTTCGTCGCAACGTTTCAAATATAGAGTTTCAAGTTATAAATAATGCATTTAAACATAAGGATTGACACTCTGTCAAAAAAGTTGATCAAAACTGATGATCTAGAAACATGTCGCTCCTGAAGAAAATTATATAAAAACATGTATCGCTGCATTGTAATCGTTTAAATTCGTTTATAAGACACCCTTTGCTTAGATACCTTGTTTATCATGTATTTTGTTTACAAACCCATTAGATATTCACTTTATATTTTCTATTAAAATCGTGCGAGTTTTATGTAATTGTGTAATTACTTACTTGGGGCATCGGCATATCCGGGACATATGGCATTACAGGTCACTCCATGTGGTGCTGCCTCTAATGCCACACCCTATAATATACGATACAATACACTACATTTGTACCTCTTATATTACAGTTTATTGGCAGAGCTTTTAAAAAAGGAAGATTCCAAGTGATTAAAAACCTTCAGTGAAAATGGAAATGGCAAAAAACATGTTTGTGAGCGCTCAACCCTCCCCCTAACCTGGGACAGTGGTGTTACAGCATAACATAAGAACAAAACTATAAAAAATCAGTTGAAAATGGCTTAACTCATTAGATTGATACAAAGCAGAAAAACATCTAACAAAAACACAGACCGGACGTGGCATGGTATTTATTCATCCCTAAAAACAAAAAAGACACAAAGTACAGATCTGACAGCTAGTTCAAAGCCAATAACAACTAATAAAAGAAATCATGAACACATCCATCATCAAATGAATATAGTGTAAAGACGTCGTTAACAGTCAGAGAAAAACATGATCTTGTGCAATGGCAAAATATAGGTATCGACAGATTGTAGAGCCATGAAAGTGCATATGTGTATAACAGAACTATTTAGTATGGTTTCAATTTACTGCTAACAAAATCAATACTTATACCAATAAAAAGAATATTCAAAGATCTAATTACAATGTTGAATTGGTAACCTTTAAGAACAAGTTTATTTAAAGGATTGATGAATTTACCCGGATCTTATATAAATTTCCAGGCTCGTTAAACAACATCACCGTACAATTTAGGATGTGCTATTCCGTCTGAAATAAGTATTTTACAGATACAGCCAAACTTGCAAACCAAATATTTGCATTTATGGAAGAATTTAGTAAAGGTTTTAAGTAATTTGTGGTACCGAAATTCTCAACAAATGTCACTTGTGTTGCTCATGTCGAGTGGACATTCTGTGATATTATCTTCGAAGAAAGGAGAACGGGATTGTGGCTAGGACAAGTGGACCATATTTGTGATGATCTATGATACAGATAATCCGTGACGATCAATCAAATCGTGATGGCGTCCTTAACACTTTCGAAAGGGTGACCATTTTGAATCCTTCATGCAACATCGTCCTTGGAAGAGCAACTCTCTATTAATGAAATCTTTAAAGAAAACGCAAGCCAATGAAGATCATATCAATTTGGAAAAATATGTTTTATATGCATGCGCTGCTTTAATGTTGCTACAGAAAAATTTAAAGTTCATAATAGGAGGGTTGAAATCATCTGTTTTGACTTAAAGGTTACTTGCCAACTGACCCTTGTTTTCAATTTATAAATGCTAGTTAAGACATGGATAATACTTTACTGTGATTGTGTTATCTTTAATTTTAGTTTAAAGGAAAAGCCGCAATCAGCTTTGTCACCAAATTTTGAATTTTCAAATAAAAATACATCATGTATATACACATGTATATAGCGGAACGTGAAGGTAAACGATAATAAAAGCTTTTCTGTGTGAGAAGCTCCAGTATGACATCTGTGACATACGAATAAACATACAAGTCGATAAGAAGAGTTGGTTTCCATATGAATGTGGATCGTCTGTTGAAAAACACGTTCTCAATACGTAAAAAATATGCTGTCAATAAAAAAATCAAGCTTAATGATTATTTCAGTTTCAGACAGAGTTTCATAGATTTTTTTTAATCAGATTTGTTTTTTACAATGCATAAAGTTTCCCTTCTTAAAACAGGATTATGAAGATATTCGTATCTGTTTTGGCCTTTTTTAAACATTATTTGACTATTTCTTTCGATCTTTCTAAGTTATTAATGAGGAATACAAGTTTTCAGAAGACAAGTCAAATATGCATATACTATAGCTGTAGTCATAAAAAAGGTAAGCAAAAGGAATGATACTACTGACCCAAACTTTTGTCAAAACAATTGATATGAAAATAAGTAGATGTGGTATCATCTACTATCCACCAGACACCAAATGGTATAGAGGTCACCGTACAGCCTTCAACAATGAACAAAACCCATATATGAAGCTATAAAAGGTCCCGACATGACAGTCAAGATGTAAAACAATTCAAAAGAGAAAACAAACGACCCGTTTTCTGATAAATACAAATAAACGAAAATCATATGATAAATTGATAGTAGGCGTCGATAAATAACGGTGAATTTATAACCTTTGTCGTGCTATTTTACTTCATTTTGACTTTTTCACATTTTTAGTTCTGACATTTTTCATAACTTGTTTTACAGTTCATACAAGTGTACTTCTATTTGCTTGTCTTTATCCTTCAGTTTACGTCCATATCCCTCGTTCGCATACATCGTGTAAACTTGATAAAATTATTTTGTACATAATGTAGATACAATGGATACGCGTTGGTTCGTTAAAAAGATACCACGAGCCCGGATGGTGAGTGGTATCTATTAACAATCCAACGCTTCTCCACTGTGTCTATTATTTTAACTATTGTTGAGAAGTCTTTTCAAAGTTATCGTTCTTTCATTAATAAGGCATTATTATCACTGAGTTCAAATAACCACCTAATTATCTTGAATGATTCACAAGAAACAACAAATAATTAGAATTCTAATAATACGACCTATATATTATCAACCAGTTTTATCACAATATATCTACTTTTAGCGCAAACGCTTTAATGCATAAAATTGGGTGCTCCGCGTTACGCCCACCTTATTTATACGACCAGGTAAACTCAATTTGCGACAAAAGCCTCAAATACAATACGGTTATCTCTATTCTAATGCAAAATAAACAAATCAATCGTTTTCTGTTATTAGTTCGGTGTAAAATTTCATACAAATAAATAACTCTGACATCATGGCAATGGTTTATATTTGAACAAACCTTTGTCATTCCAATAAGACCAGCTTTTGCTGCACTATAAGGCGCCTTTTCAGGTGAACTTATTACACCCATCTGTGAAGACATATTGATGATCCTTCCCCAGCCTTAAACAAAAAGGGAAGACATTTTTACAATGACACAACTTTTTTTTTTGTATTTAGTTAACCATTTTTGCCGGCATTTTTTATGGTGATCTAACCGCGCCGATTCCTATTTCAGTGAATTTTATTTTTTAATGTTTATTACTGTTTATATAAGTATACGCTATTCTCTATATGTTCGTCTTTTATTCAATAGATTGAAGCATGCAATTATTATATATTTTCACACAGAATTTACAAAAAATATCTAGAAACAAATAGCATTGAGGATTTAAATCTGTCTTCTAAAATAAAGACATACACAATTATGAATACTACTTGAAACTACATGAGAGAGAAAGTGGTGAATGCTTTTAACAAGTAATACGATCTATTTGTCTATACTCAACGCACCTTTCCGCTTCATATCAGCAACAAATTCTTTAATTAAAAGAAATGGTGCCGTCATCGTTATCCCTATCATCATGTCCCATTTATCTTTCGGATAATCTTCTATAGGAGCAGTATACTGTATACCTATAAGATGAAAGCAGAATACCAGACTATATGTAGATCGCCTGTGATACTTCAAAGGGGCCTTTATAGCAATTAGTTGCCATCAGCACAAGATGTACATGATGAACTATACTATGGATAATGTGATTCAGAAAACATATAATTCTGAATATTAATGAAAAGTTTTAATCAAACATAAAGTAATCAAACGTTAAAAGCTATCACAAAAAAATAAATATTAAACCTTATGTTGCATTTAAGAGTATATTTCTATAAACCAATCAAAGGTCAAAGTAATTTGTTACACCAAAGGAATAACATATGCACTCAATTTTTTAATGCAAATTCTTAAAAATATATTTTAACCTATACTGCTTAGTTTTGGGAAATCTCTTCAAGTGAATATTTGGCAATTGATTTCAGATTGGACAAATTCACTTTCTATAATGAGAGTGTTTGGTTGAACTATAACGTACTCACCAGCATTATTAACCAGAATATCAATTCCGTCAGGATATAAGTTTTTCACAGCTTTACAAAATTCTGATATCTCTTCAGGTTTAAGTAAATCACATGGTACATAATTTACTTTGATTGTTGCATATTGCCTGGAAACAAAAATTCAAGAAGTAAAAGGTTAGTTTTTGACCATTCCATAAGCAATAAATTATATTTATATTTGTTAAGTAGTAAATAACTCAGTTGGTACACCAAACACTGAAAGTTATCAGTTTATTTATTAATGACGTTATTAATTACGAACTGTTTTTCATCATCATCATAATCATCATACAGATCTGAACAATTGTATTCAACAACAAAATAATTTCGTATAAAGAGTAAAACTACATCCAACTACGAGTTAAATGATTCGAATTGGAATTAGATTTCCATGATATTGAGTAATATAAAATTGAGAATGGAAAGGGGGAATGTGTCAAAGAGATAACAACCCGACCAAAGAGCAGAAAACAGCTCAAGGCCACCAATGGGTCTTCAACACAGCGAGAAAATCCCGTACCCGGAGGCGGGCTTCAGCTGGTCCCTAAACAAAAATGTGTACTAGTTCAGTGAAAATGGACGTCACACTAAACTCCGAAAGATATGAATGAACTAAAATTTAAAAAAAAACATACAAGACTAACAAAGGCCAGAGGCTCCTGACTTGGGACAGGCGCAAAAAAATGCGGCGGGGTTAAACATGTCTTGTGAGATCTCAACCCTCCCCCTATACCTCTAGCCAATGTAGAATAAACAAACACACAGCAATGCGCACAGTAAAACTCATTTTAAAAGAAGTCCAAGTCCGATGTCAGAATAGGTAACAGAAGAAACTAAGCAAAATGACAATGATACATAAATTAACAAAGGACTACTAGCAGTTACTGACATGTAAGCTAGCCCCAGACCTCAATTAAACTGAGTGGGATGTAAGTAATGAAAACAAATGAAACTATTTTTGAATTACGCTACATATGTATTTGTAAACTAGTATTATAACTCACACAACAGCGGAACATTTTGAAAAATACCTTATAAAATTGAGAATGGAAATGGGGAATGTGTCAAAGAGACTACAAAACGACCAAAGAGCAAAAAACAGCCGAAGGCCACCAATGGGTCTTCAACACAGCGAGAAAATACCGCACCCGGAGGCGGGCTTCAGATGGCCCCTAAACAACACATTTGTACTAGTTCAGTGAAAATGGAGGTCATACTAAACTCCAAAACATATAAATGAACTAAAATTAAAAAAAACATACAAGACTAACAAAGGCCAGAGGCTCCTGATTTGGGATAGGCGCAAAAATGCGACAGGCTTAAACATGTTTTGTAAGATCTCAACCCTCCCCCTTTACCTCTAGCCAATGTAGAATAAACAAACACACAGCAATACACACAGTAAACTCAGTTTAAAAGAAGTCCGAATCCGATGTCAGAATAGGTAACAGAAGAAACTAAGCAAAATGAAATGATACATAAATTAACAACATGCCAGCTCCAGACCTCAATTTAACTGATTGAAAGATTATGTTTTCATCATATGAAAATCAAGCACATAGTCAATCCCTCCCGTTAGGGGTTTAGTATCATACCATCATAAAATATAAGAGAAGAACATTACCCGTATCATGCCAACAACTGGTTTTAGAATAAATGTGTTTATTTCCGATGCAAAGACCCTATGATTGAATCAATATTAATTCCAAAATAAGCCATCTTTAATGACCTGACAACAGTATCGTAACTATATCCCTTCTGAATAAGTCTGTTTAAAGGTTTAGCTTTTGAGGTGAATGACGACATTTTTGTGCTTTGTATAGAATATTACCATAAAAGATTGGATGTGAAATACCTGAACGTATAAGATGTCTGCATGTTGATTTATATTTACGAATGATGTCCTTGTACCGATGATTAAATTTAGCAAATGTTTTGACTACTTTGTGATATCGAAAACCCGGGTGTTATAATTTTTCAGTAATACAGAGATTTCTTTCGTAAAAATCAAATACGTTGTTACATACAGGAGCGAATCGAACAAGTTGAGATATATAAACACCATAAGATAATGACAAGGGAACGTCACCATCTAAAAATGAATAATTAACGATAGGAAATGAAAAATCATCTCTTTTATCGTAAATTTTGGTATTAAGCTTTCCGTTAAAGATATAGATATCAAGATCCAGGAAAGAGCAGTGTTCATTGTTAGTATTAGCTTTATTTAAAAGTTCAGCAGGATAAATCTCTTTAGTGTACATACTGAAGTCGTCATTCTTGAGAGCCAATATAATTATCATCCAAATATCTAAAAGTGGTATTAAATTTTTGTATCAGATGTTGTTTCGATGGGTCTTTGCTGATTTTAGTCACAAATTGTAACTCATAACAATACAGAAACAGGTCCGCAATAAGTAGTGCACAGTTAGTCCCCATTGAAATTCCGATAACTTGACGATATACGGAATCTCCATAGCGAACAAAAATATTATCTAGTAAAAATTCAAGTGCCGTTATCGTATCAAAGCAGGTCCAATTGACATAGTTCTTTTGTTTGTTGTTACTAAAAAATAACCTTAAAGAGTTTGAACATATATATTCGCATTCTGACTTTTTAAATGCCCATTTAATTAGGTGTGTGAATTTTTTGTTAATGAGATTATGATTGAAGCAAAGTGGTATATAGGGTAGAAAAATCAAAACTTTGAACAGATTCGAAATCACCAATATAAGCATGCAATTTATCAAGTACTTCCAACGAATTTTTGACACTCCAAAAGTAATTAATTCCACTATTTTCAAAGGCCTTATTTGAACAATTTATTATCAGGTTTTTGATTGTACCAAGTGTACTGGTAAGTAGAATAGACAGTTTAGTAGTGGAACAGTTACTTAAAGACGAAATAAATCTATATTTGTAATATACATTAATTAATTACTCTTTGAATTCCTTTACGAGATTATCGATAATTCCTTGTTCTCCAAGCCCAGTCAAAACTATATGACATCCTTTTGCTGCAAGATGATGAGCTATTCCTAACCCTATACCACTGGTGGAACCCGTAACAACGGCTGCTTTGTTCTCCATGCTTCTGTTTGGAAGTCACTGTACAAAGAAAACGTTATAAATTATAATATCAATTGTTATTGTTCATATGTTAATTAATGTATCATCTCATTTATATTTAGAATTAGTCGAAATGTAAATATATTGCATTTCACCTGTTTTGGAACTATAAAAAATGTCCGTGCTTATCATCTATGGTGTATAAGTCGATGAGACTGATGTACAATGTACTGTCTGGATCATAAGTTGAAGAGACTGATCTGGAGTTAAGTCGAAGACACTGGTGTATTTGTTGGAGCATAGATCAAGGCAACTTTTTTACTTGTTGGAGTATATATCGAGTATAGTGTATTTGCTGGAGTACAGATCGATGACACTGGTGTATTTGCTATATTTCAGCTCGAGGAGACTGCTGCGTTGATATCCGCGTAATGTAACATGGTCTGCTTATTGTTCTTTTCCCTCAGACTCTCAACAGAAGAACTACTTCTGTGAGAGTTGGTACTTGATTTTTACTTGATGAGGGAACTAGCATTTGACAATGCCTATGATGGTGTATGGCTTTGCTGCCGATGTAAAGGCAGGCCGGGCGTTGATGCCGATGTAGAGGCAGGCCGGGCGTTGTTGCCGATGTAGAGGCAGGCCGGGATCGACTGACACCTATAAGTTTCAAAATTCAAACTTTTTTAATAAAATAAATTAAAAACAAAAAGAATACAAAACAGTTACAGACAACAATACATCGGCATCAACGCCCGGCCTGCCTTTACATCGGCAGCAATGCCATACACCATCATAGGCATTATCAAATGCTAGTTCCCCCATCAAGTAAAAATCAAGTACCAACTCTCACAGAAGTAGTTCTTCTGTTGAGAGTCTGAGGGAAAAGAACAATAAGCAGACCATGTTACATTACGCGGATATCAACGTCGTCCATAATTTTCTTATTACAATATATTTGCTATATTTCAGTTCAAGGAGACTGGTGTAGTTGCTCGAGTACAATTCGAACAGACTGATTTACCTGCTGGAGTATAAGTCGGGTAGACTTGTGTATTTAATGGAGCATTAGTCAAGGACACTTGTGTACCTGCTGGAGCATGAGTCGAGGATATTGATGTTATTACTTGAGTACAGTTCTAGGAGACATGTGTATAAAAATAAGGAGATGAGGTATGATTGCCAATGAGACAACTATCCACCAAAGTTCAAATAAAGTGGATGTAAGCAGTTATAGGCAACTGTACAGCCTTCAACAATGAGAAAAACCCATACCGTATAGTCGGCTATAAAAAGCCCCGACCTGAAAAATATGAATCAATTCAACTGAGAAAACTAATTTTTAGCATAGGTCGAGGAGCCAGGAGTATTTGCGGGAGCATAGGACGAGGAGCCAGGAGCATTTGCTAGAGTAAAGCACGAGTAGACTGGTGTAATTGCTGGAGCATATGTCGAGGAGCCAGGAGTGTTTGCTGGAGCATAGGTCGAGGAGCTAGGAGTATTTGCGGGAGCATAGGACGAGGAGCCAGAAGTATTTGCTTGAGTAAAGGTCGAGTAGACTGGTGTAATTGCTGGAGCATAGGTCGAGTAGACTAATAGTAATATACTGGATCCTGCTGGAAAACAAGTCGATGAAACTTGTGACCTTCTTCAATTTAGGTCGAGATTGGTGTAATTGGAGCACAGTTTGAGGACACAGATGTATTTGCTCGTAGAGTGAGCTTCATTAAGGTTTTTTATCGTGTATTTTTGGTAATGCTGTAATCTATCTATCATTTTTCTTATTAATCCAAATAAAATGAAATGCCGTGTATTTACTAAATCATTGCACAAACGAAAGGACCGTGGTATAGGCATATCAGACGAAAGGACTGTGGTAAAGGCATATCAGACGAAAGGACCGTGGTATAGGCATATCAGACGAAAGAACTGTGGTATAGGCATATCAGACGAAAGGACCGTGATATAGGCATATCAGACGAAAGGACCGTGGTATAGGCATATCAGACGAAAGGACCGTGGTATAGGTATATCAGACGAAAGGACCGTGGTATAGGCATATCGGACGAAAGGACTTTGGTATAGGCATACCGGACGAAAGGACCGTGGTATAGGCATATCGGACGAAAAGACCGTGGTATAGGCATATCGGACGAAAGGACCGTGGTATAGGCATATCAGACGAAAGGACCGTGGTATAGGCATATCGGACGAAAGGACCGTGGTATAGGCATTGTCATCATGATTTTGGTTTAAATAGCAAACGATTATTTAAACAACTCCAACAGAAATATGAAGAATCTTCCTTCAGATGTTATATATTTAAGTTAGTCGCGCCTAGGTATATCCAAAAGTAAGAACAAACATAAGCAACTTACCTAGATATCTGGTTACACATACACAGGTATACATACATACATATGATATGCTATATCTATATCACATAAACACGTATGTTATTTCTATGTTAGAATAATGTATCAACCCCAGTCAGTCTTTGCCTACTAATGTCACTCGATACAGGTGCTATTTCCATTGAGATTAATGAAATTCAAACTTTGAGGGTTAATTTATTTGTAGAAAATGCTAAAAAAAAGATCTGAAATTAACATCATTCCTGTTTTAAAGGATGTTGAATATATTAAAGAAGAAAATTAACACGTCAATATAATAACAATTTGGGAGTTAAAAAACCCTGTTTTTCACTTTCATTTTATTGCAAAGGAAATGTTTGTTTCTGCTCATATGCAATATATTATGCCATCAGATTCACCACTTGGTCAATTTTGTGCGTTGTATGCATTTTTTAACAAGACCATGTGCAAAACAATGTTAACCCCTTCCCTCATTATTTGCGACCAGTGTAGCTGTCTGAAATTTGACCATCATAAATGTAGTATTTTTTAATACACATATAATTGATAAAAATGAGGACAATGAGGCAACTACATTGTATCTACCAGTGTTAAAGTAAAGTGGTAGTAAGCAATTATAGGCCACTGTACGACCCCGACATTAAAAATTTGATTCAATTCAAACAAGAAACTAACGTTCTAACTTATAACAAATTAAACAATTTACGAAAAAAACAAATATGACAGACATAAGCCAACGACAACCACTGTACTACATGTTCCTGACTTCGGTCAAGCACATAAAGAATGTTGCGGGGTTAATCATGTTTGTGGGCGCTCAACCCTACCCTAACCTGGGACAGTGGTGCAACAGCACAACATAAGAAAAGACTGTAAAAATCAGTTGTAATTGTCCAAACTCAAAAGATCGATACGAGACACAAAAACGACTAACATAAAAACAATAGACACAAAGCACCGAAATAAGAGTACTTGCAGTTACAGAAAGCTAGTTCAAATCCAATTACAACTAATAGATAAACCATGGCTAGAGTATCAATCAGGATAAATCAAACGGATTCAGTATAAAAATGTCATAAAAAGTTTGAGAAACGCATGGCTAACCTTTTATGAAATGTAATATAATTATTGACTTTTGATGAGGTTAATACAATGATTGATTGATTGATTGTTGGTTGCTTAACGTCCAGTGGCAAATATTTCATGCATATTCAGGACGAGAACAAATTAACAATAAATACAATAGGTAGGTTCTGTAATGTAGGCCATCCGGGAAGAAGGTCGGGGAAATTTAGACTGCCACTGGAAAATGAGGGTAAATTGGATAGGGACAGCAATTTTGCCTTGCAACAGGTCACCTACGGACCCCTAAAAGAGTTGTTGCAAGGGTTCTTAACGTGCAGAGAGCGTGGCATTCTCTCTACACGAGGCATCGGATTTAACGTCCCCATTCTGACCGGACGTGGCTGCGTACTTGTACATCCTGCACAGCCAAACGGACGCCCCACTTTAGCGAGGGTTTTACCGCCGGTCGGAGGAAGACCAATGGTGACCATATTTCTATTCCCCAGTCACCCTTGGGGGTGTTAATACAATGATTTGTCAACCCCAGTGATATGATATTCACCGAAGCCAACGGCCGAGTGTGAATGTCATATCTCGGGGGTTGATAAATCATTGTATCAACTGAAATCAAAAGTCAACAATTGTTTTGTTATATGACTTTGTATCCTTCTCCAATTTCCTAGTATTTGCTCAAGATACTTTTCAAACTGCTCCTTGTTTTTATACTAAATATATCATCTGCTTTGGCAGTTGCTAACTTTCATAAGCTGAAATATTCAATCAAAAGTACTAAAAAAATACATCTAAAACAAGAAGAGCAGAAAAAAATATACCGAAAATTAGAAGGAAAGAAAAATCGAAAATTTGCATAAATAGGCGTCATTAATGTTGCCTTTGAATATCTCTATTTAGATACACGTTAGATGTTCCAAATTTTATTTTAACCTCTTGTGGTTCTTCCCGCGGTGAATTTAACGTTTTATCAAAGAAGAATTCATAATATGCTTTTAGCCAATGAGAAAAGAGAATTTTTTTAATCATATAATAACATCTGATATGTGTTGATCAGTCTTGTGCGTACCTAATAAATGATATTCTTCTTGCTCTATAAACATCTTGCGTGTGCATTTATATACGTTCTGGAAAATACATACAACGAATTGTTCCTTTCATAAGAATTTGTTATCAGCTCAGGACTACATACATTTACAAAAATACTACTGTGTCGTTTCTTCTAATGGTAGATTGTCAGTCCCCAAGTGTATCATCCTCCCATCCCATTAGATAATATAATAATGCTTCTTTTGTACTATAATTGGGTAGTAAAAGCGTTGACCGAAGCATATTGTGATTGAAGCGCGGGAAAAAGTGAGCCCGATCAACGCTTTTACAACTTATAAAATTACAAAAAGAAGCATTTAATTATTTTAACTACATTTTTATGCTGCAACCATAAAATGACCAGTTAAATCGAGCCTTTCTTTGTTTTTCTACGCATTGTATTAACCTTGTCACGAATAACACTTGCAGCCAAAGATCTTGCAATTAATACGGAAATGAAATGTACCGTTTGGAATACCTCGGCCAACAAAATTGCGTAATCGGATGAAACTTCCATACTAATGTAATCAAATGAATTAGTCAATATATTTTGACTAAATATTTTTCTTCTTTACACGTAATTTTTCTAAAAGCTACTTCGCAAGACCTTTCGGTAAATTTGACCTAATGCGATTTTTAATTTTCTTTTAGAATCTTATAGAAATCGATGCTTACAGCGTACTTTCAATTTGTAGTTGGATTCCCAGTATATCAATGTTTACAGTAGTATGTCTGATGAAGGTACATGTAGATGGACGTTTGGGCTTTAAGTTTAATTTGTAATTTGATCTTCAAAGACCTAAATGTTGATAAGCATCTGTCCTACCTCCATGACAAATATATGTTGTTGTACTCGTAGATTAAGCTCCAAACAACATCGTTTTTGTGTGTAAATCAAATTACATAAACTGCTTGATAAAGGAATCAAATTACATCAGTGTCCTTACAAACAACATTATATTGCTGGGTCTTCCAAGGGCAACCGGGGCCTCGTCGGACGAGTGGTCTACGTAGTCGAACTACTGTATCACTATCCTAATAAAAGAACAGAGTTCCAATGTCCCCCGCGTTGCACATATTTTATCTATCCAGGGGCAATAACTAAAAAAAAAACTATTTTTTTTATTCTTCAAAACAATTTATAAACAAAAAGCGTGCGCGGGGGACAAACATTTTTTTTTTTGTTGTATACTAAATATTTCAAACAGACCTTCAAGGGCATTACTTATAGTTTACTATAAGCTTTATAAAAAAAAATGTACCCGTGAGAGCGCTAACGTGGCCATTTTCCATAAATTTAATATTTCCAAGGGGCATAACTCTTTTTAAAAAAAGTCGATCGGCCACCATTATAGAACTTGTCCGAGATATTGCTGATATTAACCTATAGTATAAGTTTTATAAAAATCTGGCAAGAATTGTACCTGTGAGAGCTCTAACAAGACTGGACGGACGGACGGACGGACAGACGGTATTTTCATGTCCCCCACAACGCGTTACGCGGGGGACAAAAATCAACACTGAGGTAGTGAGTTCGAATCCCGCACGTGGCATATCGGTGGACATAGAACAATAATGTTGAAAGTGGCATTAAACACCAATCAATCAATCAATTAATCAAAGTGCAACCAGAAACATCTTTTCAAATTGTTAACATCAATTTTATCAGCAATCAAAACCGGGCTTCAAAGTTATTGTGAAACTACCTACTCTGGGGGCGGCGTGAATCAGATGTGGATACCTTAAAATTCGAAAGATATGTTAGAGTACATACAATATAAGTATCTTCCTCTTGCAATAGTATTAAAACATTTGATTTTTCTACCCTTTACACAAGCATTCCCCATTCCAAACTAAAAGACAAATTGAAAGAATTGGTCATGCTTTGTTTCATAAAAAAGAATGGCCAACGTAGATACATCATACAAATATCTGGTCTTTGGCGCGCTGATCAAACAAAAATTCTCTGAATTTTAAATTATCAAGATACTTGATTTCGTGATTGACAACATATTTGTTACGTTTGGAGGACGTGTTTTTCAAAAAACAATAGGAATTTCTCCTGGGAACCAACTGAGCTCCTCTTCTTGTCGATTTGTTCATTTTTTCATACGTAGCTTACTTCAGATTCCCTAAGGAGATTCTTAGGAAGAAAATGAGCTAGCATTATCCTTTAACTAAAATTTCCGCTATATAGATGACGTCCTCTCACAAAATAATTCAAAGTTTAGTGACTATGTTGAACGCTTCTATCCCATCAAACTTGAAATCAAGGATACAACAGATACAGTTAAGTCTGCTCTATGTCTTGACTTACATCTACAAATTGACAATGAGGGTTGGTTGAGAACAAAAAGAGATGATATCAGCTTCCCAATTGTGAACTTTTCATTTCTATGTAGCAACATTCCAACAGTACCTGCATATAGAGTATATATCTCCCAGTTGATACGATATTCCAAAACTTGCATTTCCTTTCATGATTTCCTTGATAGAGGGTTGCTGCTTAAAAGATAGCTATTCAACCAAGAATTCCAAGTGGTGAAGTTGAAATGGTCTGAATCACAGATGACGACGGATATGTCCCGATTATTGTAACCACAATCCCGACTTATTTTCTTAAATGTGACCTACTGAATTAGACTTATCACCGGGTTTGTACTTACATGAGCAACACGAACGGTGCCATGTGCAAGCTCACATTCCTGTCCGATCCCACCATAACTGATAAAGCATATTTTTGAAAGTATTGCTACAGAAAAATAGTTCCACATTGCACTGTGTTTTTGTTATTAAACGTTCAGTTTCTGTTGTTTAGATTAGTGAAAACCTTTATCCGAATGTGTAGAGAATCTCATGAAAAGTGAAGGATCTGTCCCCGAGACCAGAATTTAACTTCCGCTAAATGGTCCTTTTTCAGATTTTCTGATCATCAAACTCATTTGAGATTTTACTGATTGGAAACTTTGAACAAATCTGAAAAAGATCTGATGAAAAATGAAGGTTTTATCCAGGTGACAAGAAATAATATAGGTTATATTTGTGTCCCCTCCCAAAAAAGTCCGTTTTTTTTCAGACTTTTCTGATTATCGAACTCATCAATGGTTTTTATGAGTGGAAACCTTCGTCCAACTTTAAAGTAGACTCGACAAAAAATGAAGGCGCTAGCATGCATGGCAACACGATTTAATATACTAGTTCCCTCTCGAAAATATTGTCCCCATTCCAAATTTTCTTTTACTATTGAACTCATATGCGGGTTTTGTTCGTGAAAACATCCAAACAAATTTGGAAAAAAAGAATCAGACAAAAATAAAGACGCTAGCAACATTAGATGGCGACAAAAAAAAGATGGGTCCTCCTCCAAAAGAAGGTCCTGTATTTTTTTGATTTGTTTATCAAACTAATCAATCATTTGAAGAGTGAAAGCCTTAATCCAAGTTTGAAGAGGATTCGACAAAAAATGGATAGAGCTAGCATGGCGAAAACAAATAATGTGATGAGCTTCCTGTCGAAGTTCATTTCAATAGTATTTCAATTGCACCGTAAATACTTATATTACTTTTGTATAAAATCATTTCAACCACTTCGTCAAGTATATTCGTATTTCCACACGTGTAACAAGGCTGACAGACGGAAAGGCTGACAGACGAACTGGCATACGGACGGACTAACGGACGGGTCAAAATTATACCCTCCGCATCTTCGTTGTGTGAGGATTATTCCTACAAAGAAGAACTGTTCAATGTTTGAAAGAAAACCAGAAGAACGTTATTGATAAACTTAGCCGGGCGTTTTCAAATTGGTTTTGTAACATTTATGATGAAAAGACTGAATAAGCTCCTTATTAGTATATTGAATAACAGTACATATTCAATCTGATGACATATGCTATCATTATCCTCTACATGATAAAAACAAATGAAGCAGTTTTGTGTAGAATATACATTTGTGGTCGATAATATTGCTATATGTTTTATTCGTGTGTTCTAGTTCGTTCCAACACAATCTTATAGTGGACTTGAAGTTCATTTATTTATTGTTATTTTCCATGTTAAAGATAGTTTTCATTTTAAATTTTCTTTATTATGGAACCTTTGTAACTTAATTAAATGTTCTTTCTAAATATAAATAGACGCAGAATATATTCACATAAATAAGTGCACTCTTATTGTCCCACTGTCAAACTATACAAATTCCGGAACTGAAAACGTCGACGACCGACATACATTTCCTTTTCTATTAAAACAACTATGGCGGATGACAACTCAACAATGCTTGAAAAAGCTGTTCAGATACTTGTACCACAGCCGTGCTTTGATAAATACTTTGTAGAATTTAATTTCTTTGATGGTAAATCGTTATGAAATATCCCTTTCTATGTGTAATTGCTTATTGGAAACTATACCTCAATTAAAACAACACCGGCAAGTTCTGTTGTGGAGTTTGGACCCTTGTATTCTATAAAACGTAAACAAACTTTGGTCGGACACGAATAAATCTCCGACAAAGACATCACGAAACCTATGAATAAGACTTATCTAATAGTGTACAAGACCTTTCTTTGGTTTTGTACATCATTGATGGGAATTCAACAAATTAAGGTTCATCAAAACCAAGTTCAACACATGTGCCATGATGATGATGACATGTTATGTGGGTGTATCTTACTATACAAATCATTGGTATCACTACATAAAATAGAAGATTCCCTTTTTGCAAAATATGGCCTTTAATTTTAACTTTGTTAGAATATAACTTGATTCCAAATGGATCTGTTTCAAAAGCTTTAACAGGTTGGGGATTATCTCCTAAATGGGTCATAATATCCCGTTTTGGGTATAATACTCTAAATGGGGTATAATTTTAGGCAGTGGCTATTTTACCAGCACTTGCAAAATAGAAACTATGCTATTTGCACTAAAAACAATTTTGTTCACAGACAAAAATGACAAAGAACTGGCTATTATTTCAAATGCATATTTAATTTAAACATTTTTGATTTTGTTAGATTGTATAATGTTTTATCAAATTTATATGCAATGAGATTTTTAACTTTTATTTTTTTACAACAGTATGACATGTATGATATAGTTAAAAACTCAGAGATTTTATTCTTATGCATACATATATAGCATAATTAAGACTTTGACTGATTTTAGAAGTAATTTCAACTACATGTTTTTATATGATTTCATTGCTACAAATGGATGCTCAATATTTTTATTTCCTTTTACAAACATGACAAAGTCTTATCTTCACTTTGACTGATAAATGTTTGTAAACGGTTATATGTATCTAAAATACTGTTTCTGTTATCTTATTCAACAGTATGAGTGATAATTTGATTCTTTTATGTTGACAATGCACATTTTCGTAGTACTTTTCAAAAAGTAAATAATAAAATTCACTCAACATGCTTAACAATGATCTGGCAAAATAACAAATTCTCTGTATTGCAGGCGCTGGCAAAATAGCCAATGGGTCACACCAATTTGATTAATAGTTCTTTGGACAAAAGCTCCAAAAAATATGGGGCGAGCGAGCAAAATATTTTTGTTTTTATATATTTCTTGGAAGAGTTTTTTTTAAGCGAGTGTTCTACATGTACAAGTGAAGTGAGTTGTATAATTTCTTTTTTTATGTACATGTTATAACTGGGTTATTTCAAAGAAAAATGAGGAGCAACAGATGCTCTAATCATGCTAATGCATATACATGTAATTTGATTTATAAGTGCCTGTATCATATCAGACGTTCTTGTCTCACTGTGGTTTAGTTCTTGGTTATTTTCTTCAAGTAAGCTTTGTCTGTGTCAATTTTCATTTAAATTCATATATATATTTACGAAGCATAGCAGATGCAGTTTTACAAGAGGAAGTATGTTAGTTAGGTAAATGACACATGTTGAATAAGATTAAAATATGTGTATGTATCCAAAAAAATGCCCCTGAAAGATATTTGATAGTTGTTTTCATTGTATGGTAATGATTGTTTATTGTTGTTGTTCAGTGTTTCTGTTGTTCCATTGTTTTCCTCTTATAGTTGATGTGTTTCCCTCGGTTTTAGTTCGTAACCCAGATTTGTTTTTGCTTAATTGAATTATGACTATTGAACAGCGGTATACTACTGTTGCCTTTATTTATTGGCTGCTTGACATCCAGTTGGAACTATTTATGCATATTTAGGATCAAAATAATGAGTGAGGTGAATATTTCTTGCCTTGTACTAAAACAACATCCTGAGTAAGATAGTTATATTGCTATACATGAAGATCCAAATGTATTAAATAAAGGCAACAGTGGTATAACTGGCCCTGGCAAATTAGCCACTGCCATAGTTCATTTTATGTAGTTTTACTGTGCAAAAATATTTTTCGGATTTTTTGGATTCAAAGAAAATATTGCAAAGTGCAAATGATAACATAAATGGCAACAACTTTTCTACATACTGAGTTTGATCCCTTGGAAGATGCTGATTTTCAAGGGGATTAATCTAGCAACTTATTCATTTTCTTGAAAAGTAGTTTACCAATAGCATTGTTATAAATCTTCAAGTTTGCAAACTGAACCTGTTTTGTCAGGTTGATGAGCATTTTCTCCTTTTCTACAGACTTTCTGATATTTTGTTATAAGGGACTGATTGTGTTGATATTTTCTGTTAAAAATGTTGAAGAGCTAAAAATATAAAAGTCAATTAGATGAACAAGAGGATGAATTGAAGTCTAAACAAATTTGTATATGAAGCATGACATTGTGAGTATACAATTTTTATTGTGTATATACCATGTATACAGTTACATTGTGAGTGTACAATATTTATTGTGTATATATACCATGTATACAGTTACATTTTAAGTCTAAGATAAAGGCAAGCATTGTATAATCTAGATAAGTTAGTTTTAGTATAATATAAATTAACTTTGTTATTTTCAGGTGCTTGTGCCAAGGTTGTTATCAGCAAGTGTCTTGGGTTTGGTATCATTTTAGGATCAATTCTTGGTAAGATGACAGCAAATAAGTTTAATCTTTACATTTTACAGGACCTCAAGCCACCTTAGAAGTGACATTTATTTTTACAAATGAAAGGAGAGGTGTGGTATGATCAGCCTGAAAGACAGTAACTAAAAAAATAAATCCAGAAAAGACATGTAGAGGTGAATAAATGGTGTTCTACAAATATACGATATGTTACATGTATTAGGTTCTCTAGGATTTGAGAAGCTCTAAATTGTCCCAAGCCTATAAATGAGTATAAACACTAGCTTTTTGAATGGTTAATAAAGAGAGCTTTACAACTAACAATGACTAAAAAGTGATTATAGATTACATGTAATTAGGACATTCCTGGGAATGCCAACAATCCTCAGCTTGTCCTGTCTTGAGTTCAGTGATGAAACTTGGCATGATTATTCACCACTACCAAAAAGTGTGGGATGCAGGTAGTGAAAGTCATGGTCTAATTTTTTTTAACCACAATCTCTGTGCATATGTAAGAAAATTGTTTCTGCTCTTTAATCTTCAAATCTCTTGGAGGTCAGAGATGAAACTTGACATGATTATTCACCACTATTTGAAAGTGTGTCAGGTATATGAAAAGAAATTGTACATTTTTTATCAGGGTATAAAGGTTAGTTGAATTAAACACCCTTGTATATATATACATTGTTTTTGCACTAACTCTGATTGCATCAACATTTACTTATTTACCTACTTCTGGGCCTTTGTGATGGCTCCCATCACTATTCAATAGTTGTTCCCTGTAGCCCAAGTTAAAACAAAAGACTTTTAAAGGTCTTTGTCTCACAGCTTGGAGAAGATTAGGCCACAAGGTGTCATGTGAGACATTACAGTATTTATCGTTGTATATTACTCTATTAACCTTGTAGTAGTATGATGTCCATCATCATTGGATTAAGAATATGCATGTACTCCCACAATTGTGATTTGTTGTCTTGTTGGCTAAGATTGGAGAAGTTTAACTATACTGTTCAGACAGTTCTGTTTTTTTTCGGTAAAACTGCCACAGATTTTAAACATAAAACAGGCTAAGATTGGAGAAGTTTTAACCTCACTGACCTCACTGTTCTGTTTTTGGAAAATGACGCAGTCAATTTTCCTGTACCGCTGACCAGAAGTCATTTACAGCTTCCAAGCCGCTTTCCGAACTAGGTTCCGTATTTTACATACTTATGTACTATACAGAATTTCATTCTTAACCTGTCCATATGTTTATTGTTATTAAATGGTATTTTGAGCTATCCCTTTGGTATATTTTTCATATTTATATAAGCTTTTGCTTTTATGTGCATGTCTTTACAATCCGTAAAAAAATCATACTATCTGTTTTTCTATGGTTTTTGACTTTTTACATACGAATGATCACCAATCGCTATACAAAATAGTTCTTGAAAGAATGTCAACCTTTCTTGTCAGTTGAACTTAAAATCATTAAAAAAATAATAATCAGAATCATCTTGATATCCATACGAAAGATAATGTTTTTTATCAAGATTGACGAAGTTTTTAAGAATCGAAAATTAGTAATACGGTTATACCAACGCGGTGTGTATGTATTTTGTTTACAAAGTTATAGCTGCAGACACAATCTGTCGACACAAAAAGTACCCGTATGTAAAATGTTCACGCCCATAAACAGGGCCACCTATATTTTTTGTTAAAACATTAAATTAACTTAAACATAGAATAGTAAGTGTAGAAAACAAATTAAAAAATATATTTTTACATGACAGATTATGCATGATATGCTGGCACTGTGCGCAATGTCCTTTAATCCAAGATTGAAAATAAGTTTGTTTCTACATCAAAATGGCAGATTCCAATTTTTACATTTTTCCATCAAAACAAAAACTGACACAATTTGCGTGTCCGCCCATGAATATGCAAATTATTTATTGTTTCGAGTAGCTTATCCAATTACATTTACTGTTATGTAAGTGGCTATACGTTACCATCCATGGTTACAAATGTATGATGTGTTTGGTGTGAACATCTCTGGAATGTTGTACATGTGTATTCAATTTTTTACGGTAAAAATCAATGTTATCTTCATTATATTTTCATGCCTACACAAGTCATAAAAACAAATAATTGTTTATAAAACTTATAATGTAAACAGACATGTTTAACAGTCTGTCTTAGCAAAAATTGGTGTAAATAAAGCTGATGGGTTGTTTTATAATTCAAGCACAGCAGAAAAACATGTGGTCGTTCATTGATGTTTGTTTACTTAAAATACACGTTCTTGTTACTGCATACTTAGAAATAATCACTATTTTGTTATTATTGTTTAACATTAGATATAATTAGTATTTGTAAAAAGGACAGGAGTTTTGAGCAAAAAAAAAAAGCAGGATGAGCAACTTGGCAAAAAAAAAAAGAAAGGATGTCAATTTATGTAAAAAAAGTCAGGATAAACTAATAAAAAAAAGAAGGATCATAAAGAGTGAAAAATAAAAAGGCAGGACAGAGATTACAACTAAAAAAAAATGCAGGACAAAATTTGTCATCCTAGCCCCCCATAAAAATCAAATGGTACCTCCCTTACAGCTGCATTTTTTGCATTTAATATATATATCATATATATATACATAGAGAACAACAGATAAAATGCACATGGGTTTAATTACCACCCTAGGCATTAATTTTAACAGGTGGCAGCAAATAGGGCAGATTGGCCTATATATGTGGTGTCTCCACATCTACTCTGTTGTTCCTAAGTCTCCAAATTTTGCTCGCCCAGGCTAAGTCCTCAACATCTTTCTTTTCTAAGTATAGATTACCAGCTCCTCTGAGGATTAGTAATGGAGCACTTTATATATAGTCCAGTGGCTTAGTCCTGTCTTTCTTGTCTCTTATTTTCTTATTTATATTATTATTATATTTCTTATATTTTGTTGTAAGCCACCAATAGTGTATAAATGATGTCACTATGTTTGTAATTGTCAAACTAGTATAACAATACTATTGTCTAAATCTACAGAAATGGATCATGCTTCAAGTAACAAAAATAACAATGTCACTAGGTCAATTGTAGCTTATCTCTTAAATAAGGACTATGTGGGGTATAAGAGCTTGCTTACTACAGGCTCTTCATAATCATTTTGTTAAATAATTCTACAAAGAAGGGGATAGTCTGTTAATGTATCCTTGACTAAGAATAATGAAATTGCAAGAAACAAATTCACATATTACTTTGAATAGTGTAGATCGTTCAGGTAGTCTTGATTTATTTCTTTGTACAAAAGAACAACCAGTAGTAATCTTCACTTCACACATATATATATATATATATCTTGACAAACAAATAAAAAAGCCATAGACATTGAAAACAATTCACATCTATTCTATTGTCAGTCAGCCTAAGATTCAGTAGGCAAATTATGTGATAATCATTGATAAGACTTGCATCAAAAATACCCCAATATTAGAGCCAATGGCGTCATTTTTCCTCAGAGCTTTCAGCTCTTTGATTCAGTAAAACTGCCACAGATTTTAAACATAATACAGACTAAGATTGGAGAAGTTTAACCTCACTGACCTCACTGTTCTGTTTTTCAGTAAAACTGCCACAGATTCTAAAGATTGTAAAGGCCAAGAGTGGACAGGGAATCAGTTTGTCAAGTATCTTGTTTGAATTAGTTGCTATATCAGCAAACTATTCCTATGGTTTTCAGAAAAGTTTTCCATTCAGGTGAGATTTTTATTCTTGTTCATTCAAAAACCATCACAGCAAATGTAATAAAGGCTTGTAAATATATTGATGTGAACAATTTGAGGAAACATAAATCAAGTTCAGTGATGAAACTTGGCATGATCATTCACCACTACCAAAAGGTGTGGGATGCAGGAAGTGAAAGTCATGGTCTAAGTTTAACTTCACCATCCAGAAATCTGGAAAAAGTAGTTGTTTAAGAAGAAATAGTGTTTCCTGCAGCTTTTGAAAAGGGCAGGGTAAATTTTTTCTCAGAGGGTACTCTTAGCGCGATTGGCTACACTTTAAGGGCACCCTATGCACGGACGACTACACTTATAGGGCACTCTTTTATAGATATGAAGGCACTGTAATGGATAGGGATTTAATCGAATATATCATTGTTTCATATTTATTGGTAAGAAATAAAGATACAATGTATGTGTATTAGTTTGTTAATTCGATTTCTTTTTGTAATAAAATTATCACTTCTAGACTCAGCTTATAGAATCTTGATCATGTTCATTGTGCAACTGTCTCATTTCAAGCAATAACTCGTTATAAACTTTAATACTGGATCACTGAGACTGATTTTCTAAGGATGTGTTGTGAAAGTGGACTTTGTATGACCAAGAGCATATGCAATGCATTGCTTTTTAGATGCACAAAAGAAGTACCAAATACCTTTTCGATCTCGCATGTTTATACCAATCAAAGCTTCATTGGCTAATAACTGTACAAATAGTTTTAGGATACTATACATATTCTTCTGCTTTTGATCTTTTTTCCATGTTTTTTTTTATTGAAACGTTGTTCAACTTGTTGATTTTTCATACTATTCAAAACTAGATCAGCTATATTCTTAATTTAATTTTATTAAGATAACAACAAGGAAGCCGTCGTAAATTCACACCCAATCAGAAAATAAAAACAAACATCGTAATCAGTGGTAATGTTCATCCCATGCATCGTAAAATTATAACTCAAACGATCGCCTGGTTACTTTTAAATTGTCGACATTTTAAATTTGTAGAGGTACAAATCGATGTCCCTATTAGATTCAATCATGAATCGTGTGTTTACCTCAGTCGCTTCAAAACTGTTCAAACATAATTACGAATTTCCTTAAAATGTCGGCCATCAAAATTTTGTTTTCATTCCAAGGGAAATAACTTGAAATGGTCTTGCTAAAAGATGAATTTACAAGTATTGATAGATAAGTCAGTCAAAAGAAGTTTGAAAGGTTCAATTGACCAGTATTGACCTCTTGGGGAGTATTGTCCGGGGCAGTAAATACCGCTGGTCAAAGTTTTATTTCAAAATGTTGATTTTTACATCCCAAATAGGTCAAAAATAGAGATTTTTGCAAAATTTGACAAAACCATCTGGATTTCTACCAAATTAAGTCCTAGTAAACATACATTGTAGAGTGCAGACGTCAATAACTCAATATTCAAGTCAGATATTTAAAATGTTATAACAAACATTATGGTAAAAGATCTTTTTTTGTCGAAGCATGTGCTCTATGTTTCCTGTCCAAAAAATCAATGGAAATTTTCCCCAATTTCATTGAATTTTTGTGGAAAATCAAAATGAGTGCTATTGTTGACTTCATGAATAGAACGCAAGTACATACATTTTCAATAAAAGATATATTTCCTATCTAGCCAATGTATTAGAATAGATATGATTCATTGTAGTATCAGTTAATGAACCCTAATTTGAAATTGAAGCTAGAAAAAGGGGCCATTCAAGGGCCATATTAAACCTACTCCTTTAAACATATAAATAAAAAATGTATCCAAATGAAAGACTTTAGTTAGTAGTATCAGGTATTTTTATATTTGTTGCAAAGAAATACCGTGATTTACCAGACGGATAGAAATCGATAATTTTGCTCCTTTGACATCATACAACAATGGGTGTTTTCAAGACCGTGTTAATATGGTTGCATCAAAACAAATTAGAAATGCCTTCTGTTAAAGATCCCTTGCGACTGGTCTGTGATAGGTCTGAAAAATGTCTGTTGTTGTCAAAATTTCTGCCATTATCAAACATACCATTGTTTTCCAGTGCCAGTCTAAACTTCTAGCCCAAGGGTCCCTCAGCAGAATCTTCCCTTTTGTATTAATTGTACATGTAAATAATTTCTTGTCCTGAATATGCATGAAATAATTGCCATTGGGCAATAAGCAAGCAACAATCATTAAAGGCTTAATATAATATTTATACTTATGTAAACTTATTATTTTTCAGTGCCTATGGTGAGGGTTTATTTTTAGCCATCCAGACTGTGTCAGTGGCAGCTTTAGTGATATTTTATGGAGGGAATCTGATAGGATCTATTGGTTTTACATTTGTGTACACCTTAATCATGGCTTATTTAATGTCACCATTAGTACCTATGGATATTCTAGCTTTATTCCAGAGTGTTAATATATTTATACTCTGTTTAAGTAAGGTAAGTTGTCACAATAACTTATGAATATCCTAGCTTTATTCCAGAGTGTTAATATATTGTTACTCTGTTCAAGTAAGGTAAGTTGTCACCATTAAAATTTATGAATATCCTACCTTTATTCCAGAGTGTTAATATACATGTATTTGTACTCTGTTTAACAAAGGTAAGTTGTTACCATAACTTATGGATATCCTACCTTCATTCCAGAGTGTTAATATATTCATTCTCTATTTAAGTAAGGTAAGTTTCAAATAGTACTTTACATGCTTTTTGCCTATGACCCAACTGTGTTTGTGGTCTTCCACCATATCCATATCTTGCAGAACAGATGGAAGTTTATAATTTTTGCATAGTTGTTAACGTTTTTGGAGTGCTTGGGGCAAGATGGTGTCTAATCGTCCAAAATTATTTAACTTTGGGGTAGATTTGTGTATAATTAATTCTTTTTATGCATTTTTTTTTCATTATTATGATTCTATTTGTTATTATATTGGAAATGATGAATGTCATCAACATTTTTTTTCTTCATTTGGTTCAATTGTAAAGAACCATTAATTCGGGCCTGGTCAGAAAAAAGCATACAAGAAAATAGTACATATTTTAAACAAAATAGTTTCTTCTAATAGTTGTCACATTGTCAATAAGTAAAATATTCAGTTAATTCTGGTATCAAATAAAAGCTTATGGACTAGGGATCACTGTAAAACTCGTGTTGAAAGTTTTTCTTAAATAACTAGATTTTCTGTAATCTCAATATTCAATCAACATTCCAGCTAAATATAGATATATTTTTGTAACCCATTTCAGAATTGAAAGAAAAAAGTTCTCACCAATATTTTTGTGTTTTAGTTGGTTCTATTTACTTTTGAAGCAATGGCCTATATATTTCTTTCTAGATGTTTCTGTTAGATGAGGTTATTCCGAAGACCGCTGACGTCATTCAATGTGTTCCGAAAGTAAATTTCAACCAATTAGCGGAATTTTGATTTTGACCATATCTATTTTTGATGCAGATATTCACAGATTAAATGGAAATTATAGTAAAATAAAATGCTTTTAGCAGATATAAAACAGGGAATAATGAACTCTTTTAGAAAAAGAAGGATCGGATCGGGATTCTGTGTATTCACATGATTTGTATTTCTCTCCCTACTCTTGAATTTTGTGGTGGTATTTTCCGACCCAAATGGTTCACCACAACATTTATAGTAATAAAACAACTAAATGAAATTACAAATGAGGGCATATTTGCCCCATTGCTTAGATCAAAAGAACCTGTTTTGATAACCAATTTGCTCTAATATGCAACTGGATCGGATGTCTGTTAAATTTCTCAGCACAAGTCTGGAAAAGGTATAGCTTTGACATGAAATGACTGTCGCTTTATTTGAATTACAGACAAATTAGCAATGAATGCTTGAAAGTGCAGAATTTAACATAGAAAATAATGAGGCTATGAATTAGTGGTTATTTTCCTAAAAGTTCTATTCCACAAATAAAAGGCTTTTCTACTACAGTATGTGTCTATATAGTATAGGACCTTCAGAACTTAACTGATTAATCTGGCTATGATATAGTCCTTAGTTTCTCAGTTTATTATTTCCTTTTTTCTTGTTTGTATATTGCAGAATTCAATCAACTTGCACAGATCTAGATTTAACAAAATAAAAGTTGTCATATTTTTTTTTATTTTGTAGCTTCTTCAGATTGTAGCTAATTATAGAAATGGTAGTACTGGTCAGTTGTCAGCCATAACAGTGTTCTTGTTGTTCTCAGGAGCCATCACTAGAATATTCACATCAATACAGGAAACAGGAGACAACCTCGTCATTATGACATATGTTATGTCTAGTTTATTTAATGGTATAATTACTTCTCAAGTCCTATACTACTGGAATAGTAAGAAGAAAACTGATTAGAAACATTTTGTCTTTTATGCAATACAATTTTGGGCACATATTTACCATTTATTGTAAACGGAAATATATCACTGTTATTTTACACTATTTATAGACATAAGGGACATATGTCATTGTTATAATGTAAGTCCACTGTGTTTAAGAAGTAACACAATAAAACTAATGCAATGTTGACATATGTTTTAACATGAAGAGAAAACAACAAACTTAATATTAATGTATACAATTCTAAGTTCAAAAATAAGCCTTGTTGGACATGTTGGTGTTATTTTTGAAATATATTTTGATTATTGTTTATTATTGATTGATTGATTATTGTTTATTATTGATTGATTGATTATTGTTTATTATTGATTGATTGGTTATATGTTTATGCATTTATTAGTGTTAAGTTTAATCACATACATAAAACATAACACCCTCTGCCTGTTCAAAAGAATTAATAAATTCAGTTAGGTTGGAATCAATTATTTTGTATTGTGTACAAACAATGCCAGTTCTCATTAACAATAATGTGTACATCACTCACTGTATGACTTCAATGTCTCCTAACCAAACATTTGATAAACATAATTGCACTCTTTTTGCAATTGATACTTGTTGTGGTATTCTTAAATATGTCTGTTTCACACTTTAGAAGTTAGTATAGTCTGAACTTTTGATCCAGTAGGATTTTCATATGAAAAAGATATTAAAATGTTTGAAAATAACATGTAATTAGCCTATATGAGGGTATAGTTTATACAACAAATTTGCAGATTTTACATTGAACATTTCTAATACATTGCAAGAAATCATGTGTCAGATATATTTAATGAATCTTTGATTTAGAACATTGGAAACACATATAAATTGAAGAATATTATTTTTCTCAGCCTGATTTTCAGTTGATATTTTTTGTCAGGAAAGCAGATTCAATGTTGGCCGGACATTTATTCAACCATAAGTTTTTTCATTATATATTATGTCAGTGAAATGTAGACTTGTTAGACAAACAAAATTATCAGACTTGACTTTATTACTGCTGATGAATTATGGTGACATGTTATAAAGTGTTATTTTTTCAAATAAAAAAAATGATAGGATATCAAGTCGATTGTTTTACTTTGCCTGATGAAAATGATGTTACATGTTGAGCAGCATATGCACTATTTGATTTCATCTTATAAGAAACAGGGCTTACATAATTGTATGGCATTAAATTTTAACATAGTTCTATTCAGTTAATGGAGTTTTCACAGTGATAACTCAATGGAAAGGTAAGGTTGTCTTATGGAACATTAAAATCGGAAATTTCTCTTTATTTATAAATAATATAAATGTATTCAATAACATCCTTCAGATGTAAATACATGTTTCACTGATAACAGTATTAATATTTTTTACTTTTGTCTTGTATACTTTTTTTATGCCCCCACCGTGGCGGAGGTGGCATTAAGTTTAACCCTTATCCGTCTGTACATCCCTCCGTCCGTCTGTCCGTCCGTCCCTCCGTACGTACGTCCCAAAGTTGGTTTCCTTTCTCTAACTTTAGTTTGCCTCAACCAAATGTTATGAAACTTATACACAATGCTTATTACCACAAAATACAGATCAATTTTGAATTTTGGTGGCGTAACTTTTACAGTTCTAGAGTTATGTCCCTTTATAACTATATGATGTGCAAGCGGGGGCATCATCTGTGGACACATGTGGACACTATCCACATTTATTTTAAATTTGAATTCCTGCATTTCATAAAAAAAACTTCAAAACAAGTTCATCCTAAATATCCAATATTTTGACATGAGCCAAGGCCTCTACCAAAAGTACATTTTATACTAAGATGTTGATATGGGAATAACATAAAGTCTAAACTTTCAAATTTGCAACTATACAAGTGATCCGTTTGACCATGGTGAAGTCAATATTTTCAACAACACTTCTCTCAGAAATGTGTTAGCTAAAGGGCCAAATTACCATGATCCAAAATCCTTTAAACTGGAAACAAAATTTAATAAAATACTAATGGATTCAGACAATGGGCAAATCGTGAAATAAGTAGAGGTGATACTGTTTCCAACTCAGTTAAGGCTGAGAGTAAGTAATTTGTTAATACATTTCTTAGCCTCTGTCCTAACTCAATAACAAACTGAAAGCCGTACTGTGACCTATAGTTGTTAATTTTTGTGTCATTTGGTCTCTTTGTGGAGAGTTGTCTCATTGGTAATCATACAACATCTTCTTTTTATATATTTTATGTTGCTTCACTGACAAAGCCCCAATCAATATGATATCGTTTTTGGAAAGATTGAAACTTGTTCTAAATCTTTCCCAAGGCACCGGCCTCCCTAACAACAAGTAGCATAGGTTAGCTACTAAATCTACAAAATGTATACACACTGAAATATAGTTCCCTATAATTCTCATGTCTATGTACATATGCACATACAAACTGTGAATTGGGTATATTTTTGGAGCAGTTCATTCAAGTATGTAATAGTCTTTAAGGTGTGTTAATGTGCAGGTTATTTTTATACGACCGCAAAAAATTTGCGTTCGTATATTGCTATCATGTCGTCGTCATCCGAAGACATTTGGTTTCTTGACAATAACTTTAGTATAAGTGAATGGATCTCTATGAAATTTAACCACAAGTTTCAATAGCACAAAAGGAAGGTTGGGATTGATTTTGGGGGTTATGGTGCCAACTGTTTAGGAATTGGGTCAAAAAGGGGCCAAAAAAAGACATTTTTCTAGTTTCCGGACAATAACTTGTGTATAAGTGTATGGATCTGTATGAAATTGTACCACAAAGGGAAGGTTGGGATTGACTTTGGGGGTTATGGCCCAAACTGTTCAGGAATTAGGGGCAAAAAAAGGGGGGCAGGTTTTTCTGGTTAATGGACAATTACTTAAGTATTAGTGTATGGATCTCTATGAAATTGAAACACAAGGTTTCATACCACAAATGGAAGGTTGGGTTTGACTTTGGGGGTTATGGCTCAAACCGTTACGGAATAAGAGGCAAAAGGGGGGAAGGAACAAGGTTTTTCTGGTTTCCGGACAAATACTTAAGTATTAGTCAATGGATCTCTATGAAATTGTACCACAAGGTTCCATACCACACACAGAAGGTTGGGGTCGATTTTGTGGTTGGCTATCCAGGAGGAGCGCATTTTTTTGTCATTTGATTACGTAATCAGAGTAATGATACAGTACCAGTATGATTGACAACTGTCATGATCACCAAACAATCGGAGACAAGGTGGGGCCTTAATTACAATGCCCTACCTCCTTAAATGCCAATCATATACAAGGGCGTTTTTAAAAGGGGGGGTTCCAACTATACATCCCCATTCAAATATATTGATCGTCAAAAAAAGGGTTAGGTTAGTTTACTTATCAGTGAATGGCTTGAAACAGTTAGTAAAATTTTAAAACTCTTAATTAGAACAAACCAATATTTTTTTAGTTTATTCCCCATCAAACTTCTGTTAACAATTTTAGTCATTTGAATATAAGAAGTGTATATATATCTTTGCAATCAAGAAAGAATCCCCATTTCAATAAAATAAGTTTTTAAATTTGTTTTTGTGAAAAAGTACATTTTCAATGCCCTTTTCTGGAAAATATTTGAATTATAAATTGATTAAAATACACTCTACAACTTTTAATCTTCCGTGTCATATAATCATGATAATTGTTTTCAAAATCAATAAGCAATTCTCAGAGGAGAAAAATAGTATACCTATGTTTCAACTTACAAAATGCCCCAAAACAACCTTTTTAGATTAATTTTTTGACACAATAAAGTTCTTAGCTTCAAGTCTATCTGTTGGTCCTATGTCTAACAAGGATACTTGATAAACTTTATCATGTTTATTAGAAGAATCTTTGTTTTGTAATTTCATTTGTTTCAAAAGATAAAATGTAAAAGGTAAAACATGTAACAGGGAACATTATTTGGTTAAGATATAAACTGCAAATTAAATGAAATTGTGCAAATTAAGGGACCCGCTATCATTCAATTTAATTCACAATTAGCTCGTTTAATCTACTGAAAAGTGCTTATCCTTCTAAAGACCTGCAGTTAATGTAATTGTCAGTAATAGTGATTTATTCATGTTCATTTATGTCCACACCATACCTAAATATGATTTGAAATTATTAAAACTACTCTTCCAATCATTCCATGAGTGATTTCCCTCACTTTGATCGTTTATTATCATACTGTATAAACTGCTTGATAAAGAAGTACAGTATTGTCAATTCACTATACTAATGTACCTATTACTAAAGAGGAAATCCTGAACATTAATATGTCTGATCTATGTAAAAATAAGATGTGGCAAGATTGCCAATGAGACAACTATCCGCCAGAGACCAAAGATCATAGGTGCAGGAACAAGATCCCAGTCCAGTGCGAATAATAAATCCACCATCTTTTAAACATAGGTACTTGGGTACAGGACAACTTTGTTTAGCCCTCCCCCTTTTACCAATATCCGTTATTTTCTAGTTTTCTATAAATTTCAATTATTTTCGTATCTTTCTGTATTATATGAAATAAATATACTAGAAATAACTTGTACTTGCTATTTGCTATCAATTCCAACTTTACTATCAACAGCGGTCACTGATTTATTATATAGAGACAAAGACGTATAAAGTAAAATAACAAAAATACCGAACTCCTATGAAAATTCACAACACAAAGTCCCTTATCAAATGGCAAAATCAAAAGCTCAAACCCATCAAACGAATGGAAAACAACTGTCATTTTCCTGACTTGTTACAGGCATTTCCTTATGTAGAAAATAGTGGATTAAACCTGATTTTATAGCTAGCTAAACCTCTCACTTGTATGACAGTCTCATAAAATTCCATTATATTGACAATAATGTGTGAACAAAACAAACAGACATAATAGGTAAAAATGTCAAAAATAGGGGTACAGCAGTTAACATTGTGTTATAATCTTAGTCACAATAAAAACAAACAAATATGTCAACAAAGAAAAGCAAAATAGCATATAGACAAAGCACACAAGCAAAAATGAAAGACTAGAACACAAAAAATGACCATTGCACAATAACAACAATGGCAGGATGTATAAGTACCGAGCCACACCAAATGGACATTACCAAACTCCTTATTTTTATATGGACCAAACAGTAAAGATCAATAATTTACAAAGACAAATAAAAGAACACTAACACGTTATTAAGATGATAAACACCGTTAGTACCCAGAATCTATACTTCAAGACCATCATGTATTATTTGTGAAGTTGATACGGAATATTTATCAACAAGGTCTTTGTAAGTTGATGAACTTTTTTTTAGAAAAAGGACGGGACGTTGTTTGACATATCCCTGGTTCATCAACTTCCTGCTCAGACACTGGAGACGTTTTATATAGTTTGAGTAGCAGATGCAAGCTCTTGAATGCCGAATGAGTTGGGAAATGTATATCCCATATGAAGGTGAAGTTGGTATATTGCTACAAAGGTGGGGGAAATTAAAATCGTCTCGTTTGTCATAGATTCTGGTACAGAGATGACCGCTTATGTCAAATTCGAGGTATAAGTCTAAAAATGAGGCGGAAGAAGCCGTGTCTGTTGTTTCTTTAATTTCTAGTTCTCGAGGATATGTTAATGGAACCCAATCAGAAAAGTTTTGATTGTTAATGGAAAGAACATCATCAATATATCTGAATGTGAAATTAAATGATCTGGCTTCTTTGATCTTCTTGTTTTTGACAAGTGTCTGAAGGAACTTCGACTCAAATGAAAATAAGAAAAGGTCGGCAAGGAGAGGCGCACAGTTCGTTCCCATAGGAATACAGACAATTTGTTGAAAAAGTCTACCTCCAAATTGAAAAAAATATGTTGTAAATAAGAAACTCCAGCATACTGATCACTTGTTCATCTGTGTAGCATGTTTCACCTTTTTGTTCACTATTAACAAAATATACCGTGTGGTATCCCAAAGTAAAATATGTATAGCGTATGCTACCATTTTTTTATTGAAAAGCATTGTGGATTATTTCTTTAAGACGATTTTTCAATTTCACATGGGGAATGGTGGTATACAGGGTTAAAAA